CTGGGGGGTCCTTGCTGGATTCAGGGGGCTTTTGGGGGGTTCAGGGGCCTTTGAGGGAAGTCCAGGGGACATTTGGGGGGGTCAAGGGGGGCTTTGGGGGAGTCCCCCAGTGGACTGGGGGGCAAGGGGGGATTTGAGGGGAGCCCAGCAGGGGTTGGAGGTGTCACAGAGTTTTGGGGTTTCAAGGAATCCCGGGGGGTTTTGGGGTCCCCAGGAGGGAGTTGGGATGGGGGGCTGGGGGTCCTGGGGGTCTCATGTGCAGGGGGACAGTGCTGGGGTTTGGGGTTCCTCACAGGCAGCAGGGCACTGGGGTGTTTTGGGGGTATTTTTGGGGGGTTTTGGGGTCCCTCACGTGCAGCAGGGCGCTGGCTGCGTAGGTGCCCAGCACGGCGGCGAAGGTGCCCAGGCAGCGAGCGGTCTGGAACACGTCTGAGGGGACACCAGTGACACCAGTGTGGGACACCAGTGACACCAGTACGGGCTCCAGGGCCCCCCCCCAGTGTCCCCAGTTCCTCCCAGGGTCCCCAGTGCTCACAGGTGTGCAGCCAGCGGGACATGGGCAGGTTCCAGTTTGTCACCACCTCGGCCATGGAGCGCGGCAGCTCCACCCGCAGGGGCCGGGACACCGCCAGGTCCCTGGGGACACAGGGGACATCAGGGACAGGGACAGTGTCACACAGGGACACCCGCAGGGGCCGGGACACCGCCAGGTCCCTGGGGACACACAGGGGACATCAGGGACAATGTGACACACATGGGACAGAGAGACACCGCCAGGTCCCTGGGGACACAGAAGGGACACACAGGGACAGTGTGACACCGCCAGTCCATGGAGACACACAGGGGACATCAGAGACAGTGTGACACGGGGAGGGGTCACAGGGACAGTGTCACACACAGAGCAATGTCACACACAGAGCAGTGTCACACAGATCAGTGTCACACAGATCAGTGTCACACTATCAGTGTCACACAGGAATCAGTGTCACACTGCCAAGTGTCACTCAGGGCACAGTCCCTGTCCCTGTCCCTGCAGGGTGTCCCTGTGTCCGCAGTGTCACTCGGGGTGCCATCCCTGTCCCCGCAGTGTCACTCGGGGTGCAGTCAGTGTTACTCGGGGTGCAGTGTCACACAGGGATCAGTGTCACACTGTCAGTGTCACAGTGTCATACACAGATCAGTGTCACGCTGTCAGTGTCACTCAAGGTGCAGTCAGTGCCACATGGCAGTCAGTGTCATGCTGACAGTGTCACTCAGGGCGCAGTCCCTGTCCCCGCAGGGTGTCCCTGTCCCCCCAGTCCCTGTCCCCACAGTGTCCCTGTCC